CTGTTTCATCAGGTCAAGGTTCCTATTAAGGATCGGAATTGTTGGAGGTTCCTGTGCTGGAAGAACGGCAATCTTTGTTTACCCCCTATTGAATACCGCATGACTGTACATCCATTTGGCGCTACTTCGTCACCAAGCTGTGCTATCTTTGCCTTACGACAAGCTATCGTTGACAGTTATTGTGAATCCCAAACAAAGGTTAAAGAAGTAGCAGAGAAATGTTGTTATGTCGACGATTGTTAAGTTAGGGTCGATTCTGTTCACGAAGCAAATGAACTCCTTAAACACCTCACACGTATTCTGTCCAACGGAGGATTTCATTTGACGGGATGGATCAGCAATTGAGGGGTTATCGCGCATTTACCTAGCAGCAAACTGAAAGTTCCCAGAATAAAATATTCGACTAAAGACGATTGCGTTAGGAACGCCCTTGATTTAAACTGGAACGTCACCCAAGACCACCTAACTTTTAAGCTGGAAAGCTTTAATAAAACGTTGTCCCGATGAGCCATACCCTCCTCCTTTGTAGCTTCAGTCTATGATCCTCTCGGCCTCATTGCTCCCATGCTGCTTCCGGCAAAGGCATTGTTACAGAGTTTCGTAATAAAGAAGCTGGATTGGGATGAGCCTCTTCCCGAAGAGGATCAGTTAGCTTGGAACAAATAGTTATCATACGCCAATGGTCTGAACAGCTTGTCCATTGTAGTAACCCATTCGGATGCAGTGTAGCTTCTGTGCAGTTGCACTGTTTTCGGATGCGTCTGAGGCTGGTTACGGTGCTACTCTAAATTTGCATTGTGAGATTGATGAAGGCAATGTTACTGGTTCCCAGATTATTAGTAAATCAGGTGTCCGTTTGATTAGAACCGCGTCTATACCAAGGTTGGAGCTCACTGCTGCCGTACTGAGCGTGCGCATGTCAGCGAAATTCAGAGAGGAGATGACACTCCATTTTAGCATAACATTCTTTACACTCGATGGTAGTTCCGTAGCTTTTTCGAAGCGTTATTGGGCGTTTCCCGACGTACGCTGCTAACCGGATTACCAGTATACAACAGTACTCACCCCAGTCAGTGGCGCTGCGTAAATTCGAAGCAGAACCCGGCTGATATAACCTCACTTGGTATCGCGATGTCGCTCAAGAAGGAAATAAAGCAATGGTTACATGGACCACAATTTCTCATTCAGCCCCATTCGTCATGGCCTATGCAACTGGAGAATCTGGGTGAATTACCGCCTAAATGGTTCCGACCCGAGGTTGGTTATGTTTTCTTGGTCACTTTGGAGGAACATTGGATTAATGAATTTAAGGCTTGCCCGACATGGACTTCCCTGCGTTAATACTTCGTTACCTTCTGCGATTCAAATCTTATTTCGTCGCTAAGTATCTGACCAACCAGCTGAGATAAAAGGTGCTGAAATTCGACAACCTACGCTTCAGATTATTAAGTTGGTGCAGTCAGAAGCTTCTGAAGAGGAAATGCACTTCTGCGTACAATGAACCCCGCATAGCAGTTCGAAATTTAAAACTGTTATGCAGCTTAAGACGACTCAAGTCCTTCCTCATTAGTGGGATACTTTAAGTGGGCGGAAGGCGGGATCAACTCTCGGTACCGACGTGAGGCATCCGATTTTACTTCCCGACCGCAATTTTATCACTCGCCTTCTTATACTTCACTACCAGTACAACAATGGACACACTGGTGCGCAGCACACTTTGTATGATCTTCATCGACGCTACTGCATTGTAGGTGGAGTCGCATCTATAAGGCGCGTGCTTTTCAAATGCGCCAAATGCCGGGTTAACCATGCGAAGCCACTGAGACAGCTGATGGCACCAGTTATAACAGACCAATGTATGACCCACCAACCAGCGTTCAATGCAGTGGGGATCGACTATTTTGGATCGCTGATAGTGAAACGTGGTCGCGTACATGAACAAAGATATGGCTGTTTGTTTAGTTGCTTGACTACACGGGTAGCTCACATAGGGGTTTCCCACTCTATGGATACCGATTTGTTCTTGTGCGCGTTTTGGAAGTTTTCAGCTAGACGCCGCTGGCCGACTGTCATATACAGCGATAATGGACAGAAATTCTGCACACAAAATACAATCCAAAAAATTCATTATCCCGTATGAAACTGGACAGTACCAACCGCTTCACGAAACAATTCCAATGTACCGAAAGTTCACCGAGAAAGAATCCTAACAACACGGCCAAGGCAGAAGCGACTAAAAGCGGCTAATCCAAATTCAGAATGTTATGGCTGTGACGCAGCCTCTCATCGGGATAGATAATGCTTGTTTTATTCATATCAAATTTCATTGCCTCTCATATTAGGAAGTGTTTGCTGCATATAAAGTAGGGTAATGCTGATAGGCAAGCATGTTAAGACCACAGAGATGACTGTTGGCATAATGCGACTGTTGGACTGAATTTACTGCGCGAAACTGAGCACTCTTGTGTAGGTAAACTTAAAAGATTGGTTAGAGGGGAAATTATGAAGCACAGATTTTATGAATGTGAATTGCGACGCGCAATCTCAAATCGGACTGCGATTCGCATTGAAGCGAAACTTGGTCAGTTCGACAACTCAGAACGTACCGGATGAAGCAGACGGATGGTGGATGTGGTCTCCCCGAAAATGTGAATTACAGTATTTACCGGATAATAAGGATTATAGGACGCAATATCAGTGAACGGATCTAATTTCACATATAAGGCGCATAAAGCGAAAAAATAGTCGGATTTGTCAGACTTAATTCAGCTCATTAACAATAACTGTCAGTACTGTCCACATGTAACACACATAAAACACAGAAAAATGAACACTTTCAACCATTCCTCTTCTACAAATCCGTCAAATTCTTCGTCTTCAGTGTCGAAGTTTAACAGTTGGTCCATAGCGGCATCAAGCATGCCCGGATCTCTCTCGTCATCATCTGAGTCAGTCGCGTTGCTGTTGCTTGGTTGTTCATTGATGTCTCTGGCCTTCGTGAAAGCTCTGACGACAGTTGAGACCGATATCCTGTGACCCAGGCATCGACGATCCACTGGCAGATAATGGCATAACTAGCCCGGCGTTGCCTCCCTGTCTTGGTAAATGTGTGCTCATCTTCTGTCATCCAATGCTCCCACGCGGCTCGCAATTTAACTTTGTACGCCCTGTTGATATCAATATCTAGCGGTTGAAGTACTTTTGTTAATCCCTCGGAATGATGGCAAGATGCGAATTAGTTTTCTTCACTTGGCATTTAACAGTTTCGGTGAAATGTGCGCACATGAAGTCGTAGACCAATAAGGACGGAGATGTGTTGAAAAAGCCATCCCGTCTCCTGACGTAAACTTCTCGCAGCCACTCGCTCATTTTCCCCTCGTCCATCCAGTCGCTGGGTTGAACTTGACTATGACCCTAACAGAAAACCTTTCTTTTGGTACAGTATTCCTCTTAAAAATAACAACGGGTGGTAGTTTCTGGCCATTAGCCTGGCAACCGAGAAGTACAGTGAAGGATGATTTTTCGTTCCCTGTGGTGCATACAGATAGAGTAGACGTTCATTTTTTCAGCAGTACGGTTCACGGGGATGTCAAAGCTGAGTGGAGCCTCGTCCATGTTTGTGATATGGTCTGGCTGGATCTCATTTTCGGTGATCATGTTCTTGTAGTAAATGAGGGAGGTAGCCAACTTTTCTTCGTAATCCTTTGGCAGTTGCTGCGAGGTGGTAGTTTTCGTGCGGATGGAGAGATGACGCTTTTCATAAAACGGAAGCACAAAGAAGCACCTCGTTGAAAGTCGTTCACCTTCATACCACGTGCCATCGCTATTGACTTGGATCGAATGGAGACTGTAGAGACACTTCCACCTGCTGTTTTATGTTCAGCAATCCATTGCTCAATTTTGTCCTCTAACTATGGCCATCTTGCTTTGTTCCCTCGGAAACTCTTCTTTGTCTTCTTTACTTGGCGCAGATCATCTTGCTTCTTCCACTTCCTTACCATTGATTCATTAATGTTGAATCATTTCGCAGCTGCTCTATCCCCATGTTGTACTGAGTGGCTGTTGGCCTTGAGTTTGAAATCCGCTTCGTAAGCATGTCTCTTAACAGGTGACATTTTGGGGTCCTTAATTACCGGTATGTTGAAGCACAGTACGTATCAGAAAGTGGTAGGGGTAAGCGAACATGCTTTGTCATGCGGCTTACGCATGACATCATATGTTGACCAGATTGTAGGTTACCACGCATTTCTCCGTAAGTGCAGTTACTCCCGCTGTAGTACACGCAGGACGACGTGTCATCCAGTTGTCTATCCGTAAACCTCACACGGGCTTCGATGACTGTCTGGATGACCGCACATCTTTGGAACACTGGTGTGAGCGCAGATCATGTGTTCAAACATTCAGTAGCAATCAGCGAGATACAGGTGCGTGTTTTGGACAGTGTTTGCAAAGTGCATCGTTGGACCAAGTGAGTTTACCGGGTGGAGTAACCATCACATATATCACAGTATGGGATATTGGCGTGAATGGTTGATTAGTAGGCTGGTTTATCGCCGCCAGAAAGGCTCGAATCGGTTGGCTCTTGAAGAGAGTTCACCACCTCCAAAACAAGTCTGGCTAGACAACATAGAAAGGCGACTCCATGAAGTTCCTGACTAGCGATTTTGCTTCGACAATCAAAGTCGAAATAAAACATTTCGACAGATTTTTCAGTGCAGTGTGAAAATAGTAATTGAATCCAGGTCACTAGGCCTCAGCATAACCATTCATACATAACATGCACTACCGGGTATTTTTTAAGCAAATATACGGATTTTAAGTGCGCCTTTAGTCCGAAAAATACGGAATTATGAAGGCGTTTTTATTGCGGAGGAAACGATGACCACGTATGACGAGAAATTGGAACATAATCAGACAATGCTATGGCCAGCTACAAAAAATACGACAAACTAACATTCGACGTCAACAGGCGTGATGAAGGCAAAGAATCTCGAACATACCTGGTAAAAGGATTGCTTCCTTATGGCTTTGGCAAGTTTTGGCAAGATGTAGTAGCTCCTTTCGGACTGATTCCAGAAGTTCGCGTTTCGATACATCGGATGGGTTATCGGGCAAAGCTTCAAATGCCGCAATCCCGCCATTACGAGCCAAGCGAGGATCACAAAGCGGGGCAAGTAAGTCCTCAACGCCTTCATCATCCTCACTGGAAGAGAAAAAAGCATCATATGCAAAGCGTCATTGACAAATTCCCAGCTATAAAGTTAAAAGCTGTGTGACGCATAACTAAGCTTTATTTTCATTCGTCACGAAGAAGTACCCTCGGGGCATACAAAAACGGGATGTAACGTCACTGACGCAAATACGGGTTCTACTTCAACTTCAAAAGATTTTAACCTATAGACCCACTTTGAGCTGGGAATCCGGATCTGTTCATTTAGATTAAAAAGAGGCATTAACATTGGTGGCGTCAAGGAACAGAGCCAGGTTATTTTATGCTATTCACAAAAGAAAACCACGGGATAAGTAGTGTTCGTATGAATGTTCGTGCATCTATCTGAACGCATATGAAGGAAGGCCTTACTGCTGAGACGAAAAGCGAAATATTCGATACCAGCATGCACGCCAAGCCCAGGGGCCTTGGATGTGGTAAAAGTTGTAGCAATCTGAACAATAAGAGCCCGAAAGAATCCAGAATAAACACTACTAATTAGTCTAGTGACGTTACGTACGGCTGCCTGACCTCGCAGTTCAGTGTAACTCGGTTTAGCAAGTGTGAATCCTGCATGAAGGTACAGTAGATCCCGGCGCTTTGATACATGATGCCAAAATAATCATAAATTTAACTCGAAAGGAAGGAAAACAAGAAATCGTCAGTCGGAATAGACAAGAGTCAACGAATGCATCAGTGCCACTAGATCTGTGACCGGGTAATGCACGATAACGTGTCCAACCGCTGATGTGGCCAGTCCAGAAGAACCCATGATGGAAGAGAACAAAAGCCATTTCTTGTGTTTCTTTATTTCGCCCTCGTTATGGACCAATTACCTGGGGTTTCACCCAAGCACACGTGGCACCGGCAAACGATGCACGCCGAGGCAGCATGTGTTGGAAGAGGTGGGGAGCACATATCCGATTCAAAGGAGACAAGTTGAGTTCAACAGGCATTCCGGCGAAGAAGCGCCGGAGGATCTGTTTCCAAGCACCATATAGCGAACTCAGTTGTCCCACTAGATATGAGCAATAGGCTTTAGGTAGAGGTGGTCTAAAACATTCGGTCTCTTCACTCAGCGACAAGGCCTCCGGTCCAGTCAGTGACATTAATCTCACAGCATTGTAGGCCGAAAAGACTACAGAGTGCCGTCTGCACAAACAGCCGATGCTTTGAAAAGCTGCAGTCTTAAAAATGCATGTAGTTGCTGGCCGACGGGCAACACTTAACAGCTGTCTGCATCAGTTAGGTTCCCAGTGACCGAATTGAGCGGGTTCAATTCTATGCAAATCGCGGTTCAGATCAAAACTACGCGTCGTAATCTCTTCACACAATGAGTGATTCAAAGTGGCCGTTCCAAGCGAGTAACTAATCTTTTCGGCGATGGAACCACCAGAAGTGATATGAAGCAACCAACCGAGTTGCATCCCAGTGATGAAAAGAATTTGTGACCAGTTGACCTATTCCTGTAACAACTCCTTGCGCTAAGTAAAAGTTCATGTAATCTTCCAAGATTCAAAGCATAGAGAGTGATCAAAATGTATTATAAGTGGACTAAGTGTCTTGTCACATTGTGCATAAATTTGAATCCCAAGAACAATCAAGTAGCCAACATCGCGCTGTGCGGGTTATTGACGCAAGCGTGTGGCTTTCCTAATCGGCTAGGCAACAGCACAAATATCGAAGTATGTAGGGACAAGCGCCAGCCTACGTAGTAGCGTTAGCAGAGCACCTGCATCCAACAGAACATCGATCCTGTAGAAGTAAAATGAGACGAGAGGCTCATTCATGACAAGTACGATCACAGATGAAGCGAACTGAAAAAGCAGCCCTGTCGCACTCCACTTGCCGTGGTGAACTAAGAGATGGATTTATCTTAAATTTTCACACAACCAGGCGACTAATTGTAAAGAGTTTAGAACAGAAGTGTATTTCTTAGGTACAACCTACTAAGATGAGCGCCGCCACAAACAGCTGTGGTCAACAAGATAGAGGTCAGTTCTCGAGATAAGGAAGAATAAGATGATGGGTCAGTTGTTAGAACGGCACCGTCTGGCGAGGCCGAAGGCGCCCGATTTTAATGATACGTTTCTAACGAAAATTAGTGAACCACGCAGCTAGATATACGATATTTGCTTGGGCGCAAAGGAGATAAGACTAACGTCACAATCAATTACACAAGCTCACTTCAACGTTTTAAGAACCGGACTGACGGATGACAAACACCAAAAAGGGCACTTCCTCCGAGCACCGAAGTGTCGGACAGGTTGGTTGCTAGCGTATATCCACCGTGGCTCAGTAACAATAGTAGGAGGTCATCTCGGCCGAGTAGTTTCCACTGCTGGTTCGTCCCGGATCTCACCGATGGAGCAACCATTTCGGGAAGATTTAGGTGATCTAACTAGTAATTCTGATGTACCAAATCGACTGAATCGCTCTTCGTAGTTTACGGTCCACTGTGCTAATCGATGTGACTGAGTGAAGCAGTTGTCCATTCTTTTCACGGACGGGAACCCCATAAGACCAGCTCGTCGTATATCTGCAACAGTATTCATGGACTTCTATGTACTATCCATGTACTCCATATCACGGATTTTCATTAACGAGCAACATTCCTGGCCAAATCTCAAACCCTTGAGACCGCAACAGCTAAGCGTTCCATGAAGGATACAAACAATTGGTTTCCCGATAAGAACAGTGAGAAATCAACTGATGTGAATCATGATGGCGAAGAGTTCCGGGCATATCAGTCGTAGAGCGGCGCGAGTGAAGTTCTCTAGAGTACCGTCACCATCACACTGAACATAAAAGGATCAGCCATTTGAGCAGATGTTTTGCTGCCATACAAACACGGTGACCTACAGAAAGAAAAGTAAGAGAGAAGGGGGACCTAGCGCAAAGCTTTACTACCCTAAACAAAGATTAAAGGTCAAGGCGTGACAACGCTGTACCCACAATCGACCGGTTGATTCACGCCTGCTGATAAATCTGCGCCCTTACGCCTGCTCTGCTTGACGCCTTGGCAAACCCGACAGAAAGGAAGACTCAGCCGACCAGAGTTGTATTAGGGCCGAGAACGCTCATATTTATAATGTCGGTCACATCAATCCTCTAAACATCGCCTGGCGGATCTGACTGTACGCCCAGGCTCCAAAATTGATTGTCCGCTCCGTCTGGCCAGTTCACCGTTTTGCGCGGGCACGCCAGTCTTCATCCGCCTACCCGGGGCATGGCAACGTACGTGATGTCTGACGCGCGATTTCATCAGTTTCCGATCAGAACTTGGCAACAGACATGCTCTGATGCGCGAATGTATCAGCTTTCGGCTGGGTCCCGGCAACACGCTCACAGGGTCTGTCCAGGCACGAGTTGTGTCGAACACGAGCGCGTTGGCAATCAGCTTTCTCGCCCAGCTGTCACAAGGCACCTACACCTTGTCAACAACATGCTATCACAAACAGCTGGCCATCGTGCAAAAATAAGCGGCATCGGCGAGACAGCTTCCGTGCGGTTTTCACTGATCCGCGTCATGATCATCCATCACCCCGCAGATAACTCAGCAACAAACACACTTTAAACACGCAGTCCGACTAGGAGACGACTGCAGATGCGTCACTGGTGTCTACTGCGAGTCATGTCCTGTAAAGTCTAGAGCCAAGTACAAGGCAAATTACGTCGACTCCAATCTGGAAGGCGAGACGGACCGACAGCACCGAGTATGGTCGTCAGTGACCTCATTTCCCGCTACCTAGTTGATTTCTGCACACCTCGATCCTTGCACAACCAGAAGTCTGGTAAACAAAACAATGCCCTCATCAGTAAGCGGTGACCAGACACAGGTAGTACGTGCTAAAGCTGACGCAACTTATTGAGTGTTAGCTGTTGTTCCAAGGAACTAGTATGATTATACCTAGCATTCGCTTATGCACATCATCGTTGCGGACACGCTAGTGCCATCCGACATTAGCAATAATCCGTAGAAAACGAAGAACAAAGACTTGAAGGCGCCTCAGGTGCACAAATTGCAAGGGCCAAGTCACTCCTACACAGTAGGACGGTCCTCCGTGTGGCCTTGTATACACGGTCTTTCAGACGGAGGAGAACTACCTTCTGACGTCTCTGATGTCGCAGATTCGAAGGCAGTTCTGGCTTTTGAAAAACATGAACTGATTTCAGCTGATACGCGCTTATCGTTGCTGATGCAGGTGCCTCGAGTTCCTCGCCATCAAGAGTCAAGGGATCATCAAGTGGCCGGTGGTCCTGGAACAGCACTGTGCACTTTGAAGGTGCGAAGCCTATGCCAAATGATGCGAGTACTCTAAGGGGCTATCCAGGGTTGATTGTGTCGCAGCAACATCGTCAAAAAGCAAGACAATATTGTCCGCATAATCAAAGTCAACTAGCTTTTCACCGGGCAGCACTTCAACGCCTGTGTCGTGAAGCTCCGCAACGGAACAATCCATGATGTAATCAATAACGAAGTGGAACAAAATTGGAGAAATCGGACAACCGTGACGAACGCCACTTGTTGTCGGAAAGGCATCTGACAAGCCACTGTAGACCCTGACGCGGCCTGTAGGGTTCGAGTAGAAAAGACGTAAAATGGTTACACAGTTTATGCGAACATCTTTCCGCACAAGTATTTCGAACAGTATGCACGCTTAAAGTGCAGGAAAACAGCTATTGTCGGCCTGCGGTACGTGTGGCGCTGCTCAAGCATCTGCCGCAGAGTGAATATGTGGTCAGTACAGCCCCATCCTGGGCAGAAATCTGTCTGCTCTCCCTAACTCCGTGATTCTCGCTCCGCAGTGGGGCAACGAACGAGAAATGAAGTCAGTAATTTTGTCACCGTCAGCGTTAAGCTAATAGCCTTGTGGTTAGCACAGTCGGTGCGATTGCTTTTCTTGTATATCGCCACTACAAATGATTCATTCCAGTTAGCTGGGATGGCCTCCGTCTTCCAGAACTGTTCAAACAGTGAGCTCAGTACTTTG